TACCTGATGATGTAACCTACAAAAGGATTTTTTTACAATACTGTATAATTTTTTTTTTCTCTGAAGGACATAAATGCAAACTCCTTTTTCTGTAAACTATGCCACTTAGGGTAAAGGACAAAAAGGGTCAGATAATGCTAGCAATAGCACAGGTTCCCATCTGTCAAAGCAAGCTCTGAACACATGTGAAAGAGCAGGGAAAACAGACTGCTCTGAAGGGGGATGCTGATGCTGACCCAACAAAAGGAGATGTAGTTGTACCGATCACCTTCAGCTAACCTCTGTGATTGCCCTGTGAGGGGACTCTGCTATGCAACGGTCATTGCAGTTTTTTCCCCACTCTGTTGATTCTCTAGCCAAAGCATTGGTGAGAAGAATGGTGACATGATGACTCAGGTGCCAAGTCCCACGCACTATAGGGATTGCAAAAGTCATTTTCATTAGCAAAACGACTCTTGCACTTTGATACTGGTTTGCTTGTAATGTTAGCATGCGATACCTATTCCAGTGTGGTCTGTGAAATCAGATTTCCATAACATATTCTGAGAAGCCCTCTATCTGGGTCTGATGGCTAACGTATGTGTCCATCAGTGTGCTTTCGTTTATAGTCTCCATGGTATCTGTGACACGTGAGAACCTCCAGAAGAGAACACATAAAGATGCCCCAACTCAGCAAAAGGTTCTTCAGTGCTCACACCCTCTGTTGAGATGTGTGAGTGTGGGAAGACCTGGCCAAAGAAACTTAGTTTTGGGGGATTTTATCTTATGGAGGTGAAGAGATTCAGAGGAGTCCCATCTTCTAGGTAATGCTAGCATCCCTCATATGCATTCCTTCGGTGTAGAAAACATACATTAGAATTTGCAAAAAGCTGCATTAACATATTTAGATTCAAAAGAGAAGGGGACTTTTAGCAGTTACTGACATATAACAGCTGAAGCACTGAAGCTGTTCTCCATAGGCATCCAAACAACAGAAGTATGAAATATAAACATCTTTGGGACTCTGCCTAAGTAAATGTCCCCAGGCTCCTGCTAATGCAGACTGCCTTTCCAGACTCCTTAGAGAAACGCAAAAACCAGAAGGTAACACACTGATTGTCCTTTGCTCTCTGTTCCTGAAGAGCAAGACGCTCTCTGTGTAATGAAGAGCAAGACGCTCTCTGTGTAATGGAGTATTTTGCTTTGCGGCATCCCTGCTCCCCACATATAGACTCAGTTATTGGTGTACATAAAAATAATAGCTATAAATGTTTATTGTTAGTGCTTGCAGAAGTGAGGCAGAAGAGCTTTAAGAAAAAAAGGTGTGTAAGCTCTTCTGATTTATATACTACTAGCAGATTTTTTTCTTAAAGTTCCCATTGCAAAAAGGTGTATCTACTTCCATTGTCTTTTAACCAGATACTTCAACCACTACTTCAACTAGAGTAGTGTCTCTACTGGTTATATGTAATCTGCAAGGAATGCAACTTGAGTTTTCAAGCTCTAGTTAAGTGTCAAGACTAGCAGTTATGAAAAGTTCATGTATAAGGTTTACAAAAGGATCTAGAGCATTCAAGGAGCAACAAACATTCAACCACATAGTGGCTGTATTAAGGACTAAGTGGTTGTATTAAGTGGTTGTATTAACCACATACAGCCACATAGCGGCTGTATTAAGTTATCATAGTAGGACTGCAGTTTTACAAAATACATGGCAGAAGAACTTGGTAACAGACAAACTTAGGTTTCAAAAAGTAAGCTCAGGTAGAGGTCAGACTGCTTGCAAAACCCCTTTGATATATAAAGTATAAATAACAATATAAATAAAGTGTAAAAATATTGATTTTTTTTACATAGTGCGTAAGAGCCGTGGAATTACATTTTCTACTTCCTTTAAAAAAAAGCGTTATCTGACCATTCTTAAGAGATGCCTGGGAGAACTGGGATACTGAATTGCAACATCTTAAGCCGGAAAAATGAAAAAAAGGAAAAGATTGAAACATTCCTGCCAAAACTTACTATTTCCTTGTTATGTGTGTTTCAGCTGATAAACCCTGAAAATCATTCTTTTATCAGGATTATGAGGCAATTTTTTAAAAATTTATCTGTCATTGATTGTTTTCACCATCTCTCAACAGCAATGCTAAGTAGTCACTTGAAAGATAGTATGGCAGCTTATAACAGAAACAAACCCAACTGAGAAGTTTCAAGCTTTTCCTGTGACAACATATAAATTAAAACATACTGCTTCTGAAGAGGACCACTGACATAGTCCTATTGCCTCCACATATAAAACACTAGAATCAATGACATTGTAAGATGGATAAGTTGAATCAACAATCTTTAAGCAGACCTAGAAAATTTTGGGGTCGATGCGTGGCATTTACAAAGGCCGAAGAAAATGTGCTTTTACTTTTCTTCTTTCTGCAATACCTACTGCTTAACAAAACCTGCCATGATGCAGCAGTCAGGAGGAATACTCCCTGCATACTTTTCTCACAGTCTTTGCAGCTGAATTTTGGATCTGATACAATTTTTCTCTCACCACTTTAAGACCTTACTTGTAGATACTTTCAGTTATCTAACAGTTCAACATTGTGGCTGCAGGTCCTTTAGTCAAAATTTCAAGCAAAGATGAAGATTTGGCTATAAAATGGAAAACTGGATAAAAGGTAATAAGAGCTTCTGAAAAGTAGCTCATGCCATACTATTATTTTTCGAAGAAACTGGTGCAGAAAAACTAAGCTACTTTTTAAAATAAGTATTTCATAAGCCATCATATTGGAAATTGTTTTTTTCACTTGGATAGGTAAAGAATAGAAAGAAATTGCAAAATGGGTGTGGAACTGAAAGGGAACAATATATGTCAGGCAGAGTGTTAATGAATTGTCTCCACGTCAGCCGTAAAACTGAGATCTTACTCATGATATGTTTAGCACAACCAGAAGAAGCCACAGTGAGTGTGAAATTCCTAGCGAAAGCTGACAAGAACCATCAAAATATAGGATTACTGAATAGCATATATAAATAATTAGGTCACCTCGAAGACTGCAGTAATAAGGGAATGAAGGAAACTTAACAGAACAGCGTACAAGCTCAGGCACATAGGTACTAAAAATGTATTTGCTACAAGAGGTAGGGTCACCATTTGAAAGCAGCAGAGGATAACACCTCTGTTAGTTGACTGAAGGAAGAAGTATGAACTACCAGTGTAATGCAAAGGCAATTCTAGGAGGTATCAGGAGAGCAAAGGCAGTGTTAATATTATCATTAATGGCAATGGCAAGACCTTGCTTGGATGCTGTATGCAATCCTGCTTATGCGTTCAAGAAACAGGAACTCATTTTAGAACGGATAGGACAAAAGGCTGATAGCATGATAGTATAGAACGGTAGTGGAAAGGATATTATGAGAGCAGACGAAAACAGCAAACTCATTTGCGTAACAGAGGAATACAAAGGTTGACCACAGGGTTTGACTGTTCCTCTACAAATACAAGGTGGCTGTGGGAGACTAATTGCAGCCAGCAAAATTATTTCAATTAAAAGAAGTGACAAAAAGGTATAAACTGGGCATGTACCACTTCAGCTTAGAATTTAGGAGAAGGCTTCAAACCACCAAAATCTGAAGTCAGGAACAGCCTGTCAGTTGGAAGCGTGGTAACAACAACAACAACAACAACAAAACTCCTAGCCAGCTACAATGGGAGCATGATAGCTTTGTGAAGGGGATTATATATCATCACAGACTGGGACAGGCCTGTTGACCCAAGAGGTTCTTTCTAGTCCTAAATGCAAGTGACTAATGCATTAGCTGACGGTGTGGCCAATTCCCAGATATTTGTGAAGGGTTGCACACACTCGAACAGATCTGGGGCAAACCAGAACATCTCTGCTTTATCTTACTTGCACTCTTTTAACTCAGTTTCCTAAAATAAATACATACATTTTTCTACTAGAAACTCAGTTTTTTATTCCAAATACAACTCCTTTTTTCCTAGATCTTACAGGTAAAGAGGAAACTCTTGTATGAATACATGAAAATCCTTAACATTTTACGTTGCAACTTTCACAGATCTTTCTCCAGCATTAGCTGAGGGCTAGTAGGCTATTTGCAATACGTGATAGGCTTAGAAAAGAAAAATATACTTAGCTCATTTATTTAAAAACAGAAACATTTTTGTTTATGTTGTTTGGAACAACAGTTTTAATAAAAGCAATCTTTTCTGCTATTTTCCTGTGAGGTTGTATGGTTAGAAATTTTGATTTCTGAGGAAAACTATATTCTTTGAAATTTCATGCAGTTTGCTTACATCTTGCAGTTAGCCTGCTCTAAATAAACAATATTTAAACAAACAAAATGAAACTATTCTAGGATCAAAGTGAGTTCATAGTAGGTTCCATTTCCAAGCCCTTGTTACATTATTTATTACAGCTGTCTTGCAATGGACCTGAAGTAAACACCTGGTATCGTGACTGCTAACAGGGGATGATGTCCTAGGACTTAAATCCTCAGTAGAACCCATTTGAAGAAGTTTTCTTTCCATGTCCATAGAACATATTTAAAGCAAGAGCAGTACAAATAGTTTAAACATTTTAAAAACTACCGAAAGGTATTTCCTGTCTCTGCAGGAGATAGTTGTAGGATGCCAACTGACTGGCAGCAGTCAAAACTCTGGAAATCACAGAATATTAATTCCGTGCTAATGAGACATAGGAAGAAGGCACAACAGTATCATGCATTTCTGATAAGGAATTTTTTTCTCTTCCTACATTTTAAATTCTATGAAAATTAGTTAAAAGTTTATAGGCTTATCTTATTTATTTCTTCTCAATATTTTTGCATTTTTGCTTTTTAACAAAAGAAAGCTGTACCTTTGATCTGTAATAGCTGAAGAAAAGGTCTGCATTTTATAACATCTTGTTTCTTTATGGATGAAAATCAAAGGAATCACTTTGAACTTCATACCAAACTCTACTAGGAGCTTCATTTCATAAGCCAGGCAGAGATACGGTACATACCTAAAGCCAGTAGGTAGAAACCTATAATAGTCTCTCCTTGTTCTGTCACAGGAGCCTCTTTGTTCAGAAAACTGATGTTGTTGTTCCTCCACGGTGCCTGCGGAGAAAACTGGAGAGACATTTTCAGCAAAGCTTATGACCCAGAACTTGCCCTTTTCCCCTCGTATGTCCCAAATTCCCCAGTGAAATAAGATGGTTTCCAGCCTTTCCTTCAGTTTTTCCACTCTGTATTCTAGGAAGCTGTTCAGGGAGACTGATAATCTAAGGAAGGAAATCTCAAGGGACAAGAGCTTTGCAGCCTTCTGACCAGTTCTTATTCACTAATCCTATCTATTAATACAGCCTGTGAATCTGTGACCAGCCCAAGGCAGCAGATTTCCTCACATCCTTATTACTGCTACGTGTAGAAGCCTTTAATGATGAAGAATGTGTATCTGACAACACGATGACCTTTCTTTAAAATAGATTGATACCACATAACATGCAGGTTTACAGACACACTGACACACATAGTGTATATAGGTATATTGCAAAAATACCAGTACTCTTGCCTTCACTGAAGACCTTTATAGTTTTAGTTCAAACAAAGTTGGAGGAATAATTTATTTACAGGATGTGCTTTGCTACATTCTAAAATCTAAATTGATTTTCTTTTAAAAATAAAAAAACAAAAAAAAGGTGGGGAGTCACTGCCTGAAAAAGTGACTTTAATATAGGAGAGGAAAATGGCTATGAAGTTACTTTACAAGCAGAACAGTTCATAATTAGAAGGAAAAAAAAAGAAAAAAAAAACACTTTCAATATGTACTGGAAATAATGTTAAGTACTGTGGATCTTGTTTTCACATTGCTAACTACCTGCCAATCTTGTACATTCCAAGTACAGCTGGATTTTTCCACACTGTTGAAAAATGAGATTTTGTCTTGTTGAAGAGACATGTTATATGTGATTTAACTGAGTTAATCTGGAGTATTTTTAGTCTTTACTGAAGTACAATCTATCAATGGTTATATTTTGCATTCGGCCCCTCTTATCAATCAGGTTATGATCATAATTCAAATCCAAGTCTGAATTAATACTTCTGAAGCAGCAAAATATTCCTTCCATTTTTTCACCATGGCGTAAGATTGATATCTACCTTGAGACTGCTCAAATTCTTGCTGTGATTTATAGTTCCCCCTAAGTGCATGGTGTACACTTTTTTCCCTGTCTCTCTCTCCCTCCTTACTAAAGTAGGCGTTTCTCACAGCTGCAGAACAAAACTCTAGTGGAGCTGCCGCAGAGGTGTAAACACTAGTAAAGATATTACTAATTTCAAACTGGGGTAAACAGAGGAGCAAGGGACACGGCTTTCCCCAGTGTGACGTTCTGGACTTGCAGGAAATGCAGCAGTGCGTAGGAGTCCTCCTGGCCTTATACGCTCACCTAAACCTTCCTTCATTCCCTGACTGAAGGAAAGCTTTGGACTCATGGACCTTGGCTTCAAAAGATTCAACTCCAGTGCTGAGAGGGAGAGCTGAGGGAGACTCTGGGTGCTGGGGAAAGGGGAGCCTAGATTCGGCACAGACAGTTCACTGCAGTTTCTGCCCAGCTGTGGGTACAGTCCTGTCCAGTCCTGACTCCCTCGCTCCTTTGCTGCCTAAGCCCACAAGATCTCTCAGGCCTGTTAAGCTAAATAACACATAAATACTCAAAGTTAGATTCTGGACAGACATTAAGCATCTTCATGGTGAGCAACACATTTTTATTCCCATAGCAGCTGTGTCGAAATTCCCCCTGCCCCTCTTGGTGCCCCGACTGGCTTATCTCCCACACCCAGAGGCATGGTCTTGTCTCTTCGCACTCCAGCCCTAGGCAGCAAATGAATGAGCCCCCAGTGGTGGGACCTGGCTGAGGGAAGCAAAGCATCTTACTGGGAAACTTCCAAGTCCATGAGCTGTTCTCTCTCCTGCTGCAGATTAACTCTTTCC